TGAGCCATGCCGGCTGGGCTCTCCAGGCATTTTTAATTGAATCCTCAAAACCTGCTCGAGTAAATGCCGTTTTTCTCCCCATTTTACTGCTACGGGAATTGAGACTCCTGAGGCCATGCAGCTGGGCACGGGCGGAGCCAGGATTCCGGCTCAGAATCTGTGTCGCATTCTTGTGGACACTGAAGACTGCTTTAAAAATGTTTTTCTTTAATTGACTCTTAGGAAGACGGGAAGGGAAAGGGAGAGAGAGAAACACCGATGTGAGACTAGAACATGGATGGGCTGCAGTCAGCATACCCCCTACTGGGGACGGAGCTTGTGACCAGGCAGTGCCCTGACTGGGAATCAAACCAGCAACCTTTCAGCGCCCGGGATGGCGCCCGCCTAACAGCCACCCCGGCCGGGCTAAAGACTGTTTTTACTTACCAAACTGGACACATGAGTGCGGCTCCGGCAGAGGACGGAGTGACTAAGAAGGATTTTGAAGAGTTGGCTTTTATATTTACTTGACAAACACATATATGGCGCCCAGCCTGTGCTTAGACACAGTGCTAAGTGCTTTATAAATATTTGCCCATGTGACTCTCCTAACAAATTCCCGATGAAGAGCTGGTTGGGGCCTTGGCAGTAGGAACAAGGGCTGTGCATGGCTAATGAAAACCATAGGGCTCTGAACCAGACGCTCAGCTCTGCCACTGCTGTGGGTGCGGCATTGGGGAAATCACTCCGCCTGCCCAGCCTCAGTGTCCTCGTCTGTAAAATGGGTTGATAAAGTACTTTGATAGAGGTCAAGTGAGGTCAGTGGATATTTCTGGGAGGAGGAAGCAGAGGGCGAACGTTATATGCCCACACGGCGCTCGCTCTCTCTCTCTCTCTCTCTCTCTCTCTCTCTCTCTCTCTCCTCTCTCTCTCTCCCCTCCTGCAGCCATTGGTCCGAGGGCCTTGCCGCAGCTGTGCCGTGGTGTCCAGCTCCGGCCAGATGCTGGGCTCGGGCCTGGGCCCCCAGATCGACGGCGCGGAGTGCGTGCTGCGCATGAACCAGGCGCCCACCGCGGGCTTCGAGGCGGACGTGGGCCGGCGCAGCACGCTGCGCGTGGTCTCCCACACGACGGTGCCGCTGCTGCTGCGCAACTACTCGCACTACTTCCAGCAGGCCCGCGACACGCTCTACGTGGTGTGGGGCCAGGGCCCGAGCATGGACCGCGCGCTGGGCGGCCGCACCTACCGCGCGCTGCTGCAGCTCACCCAGATGTACCCGGGCCTGCAGGTGTACACCTTCACCGAGCGCATGATGGCCTACTGCGACCAGGTCTTCCAGAGCGAGACGGGCAAGAACCGGTGAGCGGCCCTGTCCTCTCCGGGGAGCGGGCTCAGAGACACCGTCCTTCATCAGATTATCTCAGCTGCAGGCGGCGGAGGGGGCACGGGGCCTGAGAGCGCTGACGGCGTGGGGCAGCCAGGAGGCTCTTCCCTCTACCGGCCGCCTCCCCACATCTGTCTCCCCCCCCCCCCCCGCCCCAGCTCAGGAAACAGCGCCCAGGTTTCCACCCCCTCCCCTCCTTCCATCCCCTGCCGCACGCAACGGGTCTGGAATCTCACAGGTGCCTCTGTGTGTGTGTGTGTGTCCCCCCCCCCCACCTCCCCGTGGTGTCTGCTGTGTGAGCTCCAGCCGCCCGCGAATTCGTCCCCTCGGCCTCAGTGACCTGCCCTCTGCCTGCAGCAGCCTCGATTCCCGTGGAGAATAAATCCAGGCTCCACCTTCTCCCCTCCCCTGGCCTACAGGCCTCGTAGGCCTCGGCCCTGCCTGTCCTGGTCCAGCCACGCTGGCCGGCTGGGCTTCTCACACAGCCACACCGGCTCTCACCTCCGTGCCTGGGCATCCGCCGTCCTTCTGCCTGGCACGTTCTTCCCCCCAGTCTCCCGTGACGAACCCCGTCTTGCCCTCTAGGCCTGCGTGGAAGGTCACCTCCTCAGAGAAGCCCTCCCTGATCACCCCGTCTGATGATTCCTCCCACCTGATACCCTTTATTCCTTTGCTTCCTCGTCTTCTCAGCTGTTCTCTCCCAGCTGCCTCCTCTCTGAGAGGAGGGCATGGCAGATCCAGTTTGAGGGAATGAACCACCGCCGAACGCCCCTGTGCAGGCGGAGGCGAGTGGCCCTCAGGTGGGAGAGAAGCCAGTGCTGGTGTTCGAGTGAGGAAAGGTCTCGTTCCGAGTGAGGGGTAAAGGCACGGCTGTGCTCCGGGCTGGCAGTGCTCCCCCCCCACAGCCACCTGTCATCATCCCCATTTCACAGATGGGTCACTGAGGCTCAGAGAGGTTCGTGAGCAAATCAGATACCCCAGAGCAGGCGCAGGGTTTGAACCAAAGCCCTTTGACTCCGGACCACCCCCTTTCCCACTTCCAACCCCTGCTCTGCTGCCCCCTGCTCTCCCCGGGAGCTCGGGCCCTTGGATCCGGAGAGGACGTGGCCAGGGCCCGCTCCCATCTTCCCAAGGTTTGCTCAGGCCCTGCAGACCTCAGGTGGCGAGGCGTTGGACAGACCCAGGTGTGTGTCCAGCTCTGCCCGCGCCCGTTGCAGACCTCGGGCCGGCTCTGCCCCTGCCCGGCCTCCCCAGGGCCCGCTGCGGGGGTCCGGGTGAGCGGCCTCAGCTGGGAGGGCCCCGGACTGTGGCGGAGGGAGCCGAGGCGGCTGGGCCTGCACAGCCCGGTCTGAGGGAGGGCCGCCGCTGACCGTGCCCTCCCCGCAGGCGGCAGTCTGGCTCCTTCCTCAGCACCGGCTGGTTCACCATGATCCTGGCCCTGGAGCTGTGCGAGGAGACCGTGGTCTACGGCATGGTCAGCGACAGCTACTGCAGGTCAGCCGGCCGGGCCCGGGAGGGCGGGACGCCGGGAGGAGGCCGGGGCCTCACGGGAGGGCCTGGGAGCCGCGGGGCGCGGGCGTGTGGGCTCCCGGGTGGGTGGGGTGGGTGGTGGAGGCAGGGGCATCCCTCAGCTGGCGCCCAGCGGGAAGGGGCTCAGCCTCCGGGTCTGGCTCGTGTGGCCTGAGGCCAGACACGCCACCTCCGCTTCCTTGTTGTGAAAGAGGGAAGCAGTCACGCTTCTTCAGGAGGCTGTGCAAACATTTACAGAGTCACCTACAGACGTGCTCCTGGCAACACGGGGGCCGAGTACATGTACCTGACATATGACGTGTCTGTTTTCACGTTAGCTATCCTTCGATTTCACTAGTCGTATCTCTAAGTCCAGAAAGGGTCTCCTGTTCTCCCCTCTTCCCTTTGGGACTTATTTGTTAAGCACGTGGGTGAGATGGCAGGAGCCTGTGTGCCCTCTGCAGAGGCACCTGGGCAGACCACCTACGGGCATGATGCCGGCGAGTGGGTGGGTGGGTGCCACAGGGCATAAGGGTTCCTTACCAGGAGCCTCGCACCAGGAAGGCACTTCGTAGTCTTCATCTTTAAAAATATATTTATTTATTTATTTATTTATTATTATTATTATTTTTTAAATATGTGTAATTTTTTAATATATATTTTATTGATTTTTCACAGAGAGGAAGAGAGAGGGATAGAGAGTTAGAAACATCGATGAGAGCTGAGACCGGTTTGGCTCAGTGGATAGAGCGTCGGCCTGTGGACTGAAAGGTCCCGGGTTCGATTCCGGTCAGGGGCATGTACCTTGGTTGCGGGCACATCCCCGGTGGGGGGTGTGCAAGAGGCGGCTGGTTGATGTTTCTCTCTCATCGACGTTTCTAACTCTCTGTCCCTCTCAATTCCTCTCTGTGTAAAATCAATAAAATATATATATTAAAAAAAAAAAAAAGAAACATAGATGAGAGAGAATCATCGATCACCTGCCTCTTGTACACCCCCTACTGGGGATGTGCCCGCAACCAAGGTACATGCCCTTGACCGGAATCGAACCCGGGACCTTTCAGTCCTCAGGCCGACGCTCTATCCACTGAGCCAAACTGGTCCCGGCTATTATTATTTTTAAATATATTTCAGAGAGGAAAGGAGAGAGAGAGAGAGAATCACTGATTGGCTGCCTCCTGCACACCCCACACTGAGGACTGAGCCCACAGCCAGGCATGTGCCCTGAGTTGAACGGTGACCTCCTGGCACAGAGGTCGATGCTCAACCACTGAGCCACGCCAGCTGGGCCGTCGCCTTCATCGTTTTTTTCCCTGTGGGCGCGGCCCGGAAGGTGGATGCCACCTCTCCCGTGTCACAGACGGGTGGCTGAGGCTTGCGGGGCGGGCCGCTGCCCTCGAGTCCACCAGCTTGCAGAGGCGGAGCCGGGCATCCAGTGCTGGCCTTTCGGGCGCCCACGCTGCCCTGCTCCTTCGTCTGCCCGGCCTCCCCCGGGCGGGGACGGGCCCGGGAGCCTGTGGCTCCCGGTGAGGGTGGCGAGGTCGGGCGGGGCCGGGCGGGAGGCTGGAGCTGTGGTGCCCACACCGTCCCTGCCGCCCGCCCGCCTGCAGGGAGAAGAGCCACCCCTCCGTGCCTTACCACTACTTCGAGAAGGGCCGGCTGGACGAGTGCCAGATGTACCTGGCCCACGAGCAGGCGCCCCGCAGCGCCCACCGCTTCATCACCGAGAAGGCCGTGTTCTCCCGCTGGGCCAAGACGCGGCCCCTGGTGTTCGCCCACCCGTCCTGGCGGGCCCCGTAGCCGCGCCTGGCCGGCCGCGCCGCCTGCGCCCGGCCCCGTTCCCTCCGCTCAACCAAAACCTTTAACTTATGGATCCTGCCTCTGCCACGTGCGGGGGGCCGGGGCTCCCCCGCCCCCCGGGGGACATGGGAGCCGTCTCGGGGCTCCTGACTTGAAGGGGAGAAGAGGGGCCATGTGACCTGTGTACCCTCCTCCCATCCCCCTCCCTGAATGAGCTGATTCTTTTTTATTTTTAATATATTTTTATTGGTTTCAGAGAGGAAGGGAGAGGGAGAGAGAGAGAGATAGCAGCATCAATGATGAGAGGGAATCATGGATCGGCGCCTCCTGCACGCCCCGCACTGGGGATGGAGCCCGGGTTGCGGGAATCTCATGCCCTGACCGGGAATCTCACCGTGACCTCCTGGTTCATGGGTCGATGCTCAGCCACGGAGCCACGCCGGCCGGGAAATAACCCGACTCTGACACTTTGGGGTTCATCCCACCTCGGTGTCTGTCCCGTGGCCTTTGCCCCCAGGGCTGATGGGCCCCCACTCACCAGCTTGGTGACCTTCGACCTTGCGCCAGCCCAGGCCCTCCCTCTCTACCCGCCCCCCACCCACGGCCGGTGCCACCCTTCCCGAGCTGGCTGCCTGGTCAGGGCAGCCCGGAGCTTGGTGTCCGTCGGGTGAAGGGGCCTTTGAACTGTGGCTCGCCAGGGCCACCTCGAGTGTACGGGTAAACGTGTTTTCTGGAGCCCTGTCTGCAGTGTGGCTGTGTGTCTGGGGGTAAGAAGTGGGGCTCCTCGCCTGCCACCATCCCATAGCCCAAGTCCCCGGCCCTCCCCAAACCCACAGCCGGCTGGGCCTCTGGCCATTTCCTCTGCCCAGAGTCTGGCCGGGGCTGCACTGGGCTCCGCCCGGCGTCCAGTGGGCAGAGGGCGGAGCGTCTGGCCGGGAAGGAAATTCCTCTGCCCCCACCACGCCCCTGGGCCAGGGGCCAGTTCCAGGGTCCTCGCCAGTTTAATTCCCTAGTCACTGGGATTGGTTACGCTGCAAGAGAGGAGTCTGGGGGTGGGGGGGCCAGCAGGGGGCCTGAGGCTTGTCTTCTCTGAGCTTCACTGCCCTCACCTGGGCGGTGGGAACAGCCTGCCGCCAGCCACCAGCTAGCAGGGCGGCAGCCCTGAGAGAGGGGCTCCAGGGGTGCAGAGCAGGTGCAGCCGTCAGCCGAGCAGGGTGGGGTCCCCGGTCTCAGAGCTGAGCCTGAGCCCCAGAGTCTGGGCCCCGAACCGAACTGAGGGGCGGGAAAGAGCCACAGGGCTTCACACCCCTCCTGCTCTCCCTCCCTCCCATCCTCCTCCATCCGGAGCCCAGGAGCCCGGCTCATGGAGGACCAGCTGGGTTAGAGCCCGGGGCCCCTTCAGGGGAAAGTGACCCAGCAGTTGCCCGGAGGGCCCTACGCTTGCTGAGCTGCTGATGCGTCTTGAACTTCTGAGTCGTGTGTGTCTTTAACAAGGAGGGGCATGTTTTCATTCTGTGCGGAGGGGGGGGACCCCACAATCCTGCAGCTGGCCGTGCGAGGGAGTGTGGGCGACCTTCTCCAGAGAAGCCGGAGACCTGGCCCCCGGCCCCCAGCGTGCCTCTGGCACCTGCCTCCCCAGCCCAGTGCCAGGCAGGCCCCGGAGGCCCTGCAGCGTGGGCGGCGGGCGGCGGGCGGAGGGCCCTGGGCTGGGCAGAGGGAGCTCTGCGGGCGGAGGGGAAGGCTGGCAGCTGGACCACAGCTGCCGGCCTGGCGGCGGTGGGGTCTGAGCAGGTGTCGGCAAAGTGGGGGTGGCCTGGCAGGCGGGGCTGGTGGAGGGACCGGGCGCAGAGGGAGGCCTCTGGAGTCAGATCTACCTCGTTCTGGCTCCGCCTCCGCGTGGGATCCTGGGATTAGTGCCTCTCTGGGCCTGTTTCCTCGTCTGCACGAAAGCGTCCTTCCCTCACAGGATGGATTTGGAGAGGAGGCTGTTGCCGGGCTGACGCTTGATATGTGGGTCGGTCACCCTTGCTCTCCCATCGTCCTTGGCGGTGACAGAGGGGTGTGGAGCCCCCCCACTCCCATCAGTCCCCCTGCTCACAGCCTCGGCCTTGGGCTCCAGGGCCCAGGCCCGCTGGTCCCGATGGGCTCAGACTGTCCCTTCTCCCGGGCGGTTGCCTCCTCCCTCGCCCTTCCCTGGAGCACCCTGGCTGTCCCCTCGGGGGCAGGGACAGGTGCTGGGCTGGTCCAAGGAGCATGTATTTCTGGCCTTTGTGACCTGCCAGGAGCCACCCCAGCTACTTCCTCCCGGGGGCTCCTGATGGCCGCCAGCCTGCAGGGGCCTCACCGGGGACACCCCCCCTCTCTCTGCCACAGCTCCTGCAGCTTCCGGGGGTGAGTTGGGGCAGGAGCCCCCCAGCTCTGAGGCGTGTGGGGGGAGCACCCTGGTGTGCAGCCCCTCTTCGGGCCTCTGTCCACATCCAGCTCCTTGGTCCCCTCAGCAGGCCAGCTGGGACCTCCTAGGTCCTCCTCCTGGGGCCAGAGGGGGCCGGGGGAGCCCCACAGCCTGGAGGGGTCCTCAGGAGCCTCCGTCCAGGGAGGAACTTGGGGCCAGGCCAGGAACTCTCACCAAACCCATCGCCGGGAGAGGAAAGGGACGTTGGTTCTTGCAGGTTCTGGTCCGCACCCATGTCCGGGGCCCCTGGGCCCATCTCTGCGCCTGAAGAACCAGGTTCTTCCTGGTTCCAGACCCTCCCCCAGCGGCTCTCCGGAGGGAGAGAGGCCGCAGTCCCCAGCCTCAGCGCCAGGCGGTCTGATCCATGGCCCTCCTCCCCTTGTCCTTCTCGGCACAAGCAGGGGCTGTCTGGGGGCCCCATGCACGCACAGCATTGATGCAGGACTGAGAAGCGTAAGTTCCCGGTAAAGCCAGAATAGAATCATTTCCTCAGACCTCCACCTACTTGATCTTAGTAAGTTAGTAACCTGATTAGGGCGGCTCCTCCCTGGCTCTGCCCGGAGCCCAGAGGGGATTTGGGGCACGTCCTGTTCCCTCGACGGGTCCTGGTTTCCTCTCCGTAAAGTGGGAGCCAGGGAGACAGCCGAGGTCTCTGAGGACTCTTCCCGGGACCCCGTGGGAGGGAAAATCCTGACCGCAAAGGACGCCGAGGGCCAAGGAGGGGGGCACGCCACGATCCCCAGCCCAGGGCAGGCAGGGCTGAGACAGAGGCCACGGGGGCGCGCTCAGCGGTGGCGCACACCAGGAGCCCCATCCGCGGAGATCCCGGCACGGTGGGCGCGGGCAGGCCCGGGGCTTCAGAGCGGAAGGCCTGTGGCCATTCATGCCGGGGCCGCACACGCTGAGCCTCGCTTCTCGCCGGAGGGCTGGTGCCGAAGCGCCCGGCGCACAGGCTGTGCCGAGGCCTCCGGGAGGGCTGTGCAGAGTGCCCGTCACAGGAGAGCGCACAGGATGCGTGGGAGCCGGTGTCTCGCCGTTCCTGAGGCGGTGGGTATTGTTCTTGAAAGCGAGTCTGGAGACTTTGGCCAGAAATAAATGATGAAAAATGTATTCAAGAGCCTTAGGGCTTGCAAACTGGAAAGACATGCCACAGCCAGGCGTGCCGAAGAGGAAAGAAAAGTGGAGGGTCCTTTTAGTAAAAAGTCCATTCCTGCCGGAACCGGTTTGGCTCAGTGGATAGAGCGTCAGCCTGTGGACCGCAGGGTCCCGGGTTCGATTCCGGTCAAGGGCATGTACCTTGGTTGCGGGCAATCCCCATTAGGGAGCGTGCAAGAGGCAGCTGATCAATGATTCTCTCATCGATGTTTCTAACTATCTCTCTCCCTTCCTCTCTGTAAAAATACATAAAATATATATTAAAAAAAAAAAAAGTCCATTCCTGAGGGGAAGCACTCCTGCACCTCAGCTCTGGGCTGGTGCTCACCATGCCGGTCTGGACCAGCGCCATCCTCCCCTTCTCCTTCCGGCATAAGCAGGCCCCGGGAAGGTGAGCCAGCCTCACCACAGAGCCTCTTGGCCGGAGCCTGTGCCCGAGACATGGCAGGCCTGAGGGGGGCGCTCCAGGCCCGGGTTTGGCCCGGGAGCTGGGCTGCAGCGCCCTCATTTCCAGAGGCCACTGGCGGGGGTCAGGGAGAAGGGCTGAGGACAGGATGCCACACCCTAGCGCAGCCGCCAGCCTGCCGGGCGACCTCTGGCGAGGGGCTCCCCCTTTTCTGAGCCCCAGCAGTGGGTTCCTCGGGTTTCCTGCCTGCGGCCCTGGCCCCTGCTCGGTGGTTTTCCATGCCGGCAGGCGGCCAAGCGGGGCCTGGGATGGGCTGAGGCTCAGGAAGCAGATGGAAGTGACACCAGAGGCAGGAAGCCTTGAACCCTTGGCCCTCCCCTCTGGTGCCCACTGCCTCCTGGCCATGTCTCCAGAGCCTGGACCTTGCCCCGCCCCTCTTGTTTTCATTAAAAACAAAGTGATAGTAACTTATTAAATTAGTCCGGTGCAAACGATCTGGACATTTATAAAGCAAAGAGGGAAGGTAGCACCACCCCTCCCACCCCGAATCCACTCCCCAGGGAAACCCCTGCCCGGAGTCCCCCTTAGATTCCTCCAGGCATCTGCTGTGTACATTTACAAACATACACATCTACGGTTGTGTTTTATGTGTGTGTGTGTTTTTTAAAGGAATCATGCTACATATACAGCTAATTTTTAATATATTTTTACTGATTTCAGAGAAGAAAGGAGAGGGAGAGACAGAAACTCCAGTGATGAGGGGGAATCATTGAGTGGGTGCCTCCTGCTGGCTCCCACTGACCGGGAATTGAACACCGTGACCTCCTGGTTCATAGGTTGATGCTCAACCCCTGAGCTACGCTGGCTGGGATGCAGTTTACTTTTTATAAATTAAAAACTAAGTTTTGAGTATAAGCATTGTGTAGCCATTATCTTAAAATTTTTAGAGCCGAGCCAAAACCGGTTTGGCTCAGTGGATAGAGCGTTGGTCTGCGGACTGAGGGTCCCAGGTTCAATTCCAGTCAAGGGCATGTACCTTGGTTTTGGGCACATCCGCAGTAGGGGGTGTGCAGGAGGCAGCTGGTCGATGTTTCTCTCTCATTGATGTTTCTAGCTCTCTATCTCCCTTCCTCTCTGTAAAAAATCAATAAAATATATTTAAAAAAATTTTTTTTAGAGCCAAAACCGGTTTGGCTCAGTGGATAGAGTGTCAGCCTGCGGACTGAAGGGTCCCGGGTTCGATTCCACTCAAGAGCATGTACCTTGGTTGCGGGCACATGCCCAGTGATGGTGTGCAGGAGGCAGCTGGTCGATGTTTCTAACTTTCTATTCCTCTCCCTTCCTCTCTGTAAAAAATCAATAAAATATATAGTAAAAAAAAATAAATAAATAAAAAAACTTTTAGAAAATATAGTTAAGCCAAAAGAAAGAGAGAAAGAGAGAAAAAAAAGCAGCTCATAATCTCACCATTCCAGAAATAACCACTATTAACAATTACTCACAGGGCTAGGCAAAAGATATTTCCTTATTTTCATTTCTCTTTCCTATCTTCCTTTTAAAATACGGCGGTACACACATGACTGCATTGGTCATACCTGTAAGTTACAAAACATAATATAATGAACCCCTCGAACCCATGTCCCACTTAAAGACCAGACCTTCACGAGAAATCCACCCGGAGTGTTTCCTCCCCTCCCCTCCCCCACCTCACTCCCTCCCCAGCAGACAACCATGCTCTTGGCTTTTGTTTTGAAAACTTGAATCACTCTGATAGGCACCAGCTACCTCCGGCCCCTGGCTGGGAGAGGCGGCCTGCTGCCGGCTATATGCTCACACAGTGTACTGTGTGGCTCATCTTCTTCTGAGACTTGTCTTTCTCATTCCTTATGTCTCTCAGATTCATGCTTGTAACTGCCGCTCCTTCATTTCCCCTGCTATTTCATATCTCACACGTGAAAGGACCGTCATGTAGAAAAATCCCCTGCTGCTGCTGATAGGTATAGGGGTTGTTTCCAGGTTAATATCATTTCAAGCCAGTGGTCGGCAAACCGCGGCTTGCGAGCCACATGCGGCTCTTTGGCCCCTTGAGTGTGGCTCTTCCACAAAACACCACGGCCTGGGCGAGTCTATTTTGAAGAAGTGGCGTTAGGAGAAGCTTAAGTTTAAAAAACCTGGTTCTCCAAAGAAATGTCAATCGTCCTGTTGTATTTGGCTCTGCGGACGAATGAGTTTGCCGACCACCGATTTCAAGCAACGCTGCTATGAGCTCTGTTGCTGACGTAGGCAAGAATTCCTCCAGGGTCTATACCCAGGAGGGGAATGCATGTTCTCACACCTCGGTTTTCCAAGGGGGATTCTAGGGATGCAGTTCCTTAGCTTGCTTCCTTCACGTAAACATCCTCTGTGCATCCGGCCAGCTCCTGCCGGTACATATTGATCCACACCATTCAGTCCAGCAGGCCTGAACCTCTCATAACCTCTGGATGATCAGCCACTGGCCCCTACAGGGCTCCTGGCTATTTCTCACTGTCACCTGGAACATCATAAGAAGTCCTAACATTTTTGGCCCTTACACCACCTCCGAGGCGGTGGTGCTCCCTGTATGCCCTATGCCAGCGGCAGGCCGGGGCAGGGGAAGTGAGTGCCCGGGCCACACAGAAAGGGGGCAGAGCTGGACGGAATCCAAGGTGGGTGGCTGCGGGGTACAGGCTCTGGAGGCCTGGCTAAGGGGGTCCAGGGAGAAGCTCAGCTGGTTCCAGGCGCAGGGCGCTCTGGGCCTCAGTGTCCCCGCTCCGGTCGTGGGGCGGATAAAGCGGGATCGAAGAGGCCATGTCGCTCTCTCAGGGGTCTGGGAGGCTGTTTTTATGGCCACCACGCGGCACAGAGACAGCCCGCACCCCAGGGCCGCCCGCCCCTCTCCCTTCGCTGGGGCGCCGCCGGGGCGGAGCCAGCCCGCCCCCTGGCGGCCGCACCGCCTCCCAGCCCTGAGCCCGGCGGCGGCGGCGGCGCTAGGACCCGGCGGCCGGCTGCGGCGGGCCTGGGCGGCCGGACGTGCGGGGCATCTCGGACCCGGCTCTCAGCCCCGGCGCCATGTGAGGGGGCTCGGGGGCCGCGGGGGGCCGGGCGCTCCCCGGGGAGGTGAGCGGCGCCGAGCGGGGCGGGGGCGCCCGGAGGCTCCGGGGATGGGGAGGGATGGGGGGGCCCTGGGGAGGGGTGCCCGAGACCCACTCTCTGGTCCCGGTCCCGGTGACCAGGGGCTGTGGCGGGGTTCGCGGGGCCCCTGCTGCTGTCCACCCCCGTGGAGCTGGGGCCCGGCCACGTCCTCCTCCCTGCCGGGCCTAGGGCTCGGACCCCCGGATGTGGGAGTTTGGGGGTCAGCGCCCAGGGGGTGCGGAGGAGGAGCCGCCCCCACCCCGGTGCACCCCGGGCTCGGCGCTCCCCCAGCGGGGAACCAGGCGCCCTCCCCCTGCTCCTCCGAGCCCTCCGCCCACGCTGCCCGCGGGGGCTCCGGACCCCGTGGGAGGGCTCCCAGGCTGGGCGAGGCCAAGCCCCACCCAGAGGGCAGGGTGCGCCCCCCACCCCCCATCCTGAGGGCCCAGCCTCCTGCAGGGCCGCTGTGGGGCCGGGCCCACGCTCCTGGCCGGGTGCTCCGGCGGCTGTCTCCCAGCCTGGGCAGGGCGCTCCCAGCAGGCTGCCCCCGGGCCGGGCCAGAGCTGAGCACTGAGGTGGACGGGGTCTCCCTCCAGGATCCGCCTGGCGTCTGCCCCAGCCCAGGCCTGCGGATCCTGGAGGGAGACCCGGTCCACCTCCCTGGGCTCCCCCCAGCAGGCCCTACCAGGCCCCACGCTGCCTCTCTGAACCCGTCTCATGGGTGCATTGGGCCGTGACAGCCCCTACCAGGCAGTGCTGCCAGGAAGACTGAGCGAGTGGGTGCCGCCTAGCTGGCTCCCGCGTCCATTCCCGTTAGAGGAGCGAAGCCGCGGGGCCAGGGGTCAGAGGAGGGGGACCGTTTTGCTGGCCAGCCAGTGAGCCAGGCCTTGAACAATGAATAACCCCGGGGTGAGCCACGGGGCTCCCCTTGCCACCCACACGGGCTGGAATCCTTCCAACGTCCCCGTGGGTTACCGGCTCTTATTCCTCCCATTTCGCAGATGAGGAAACTGAGGCTCAGGGGGGCACAGGACTTGCCCTAAGAAGGCCTCTCAGCCAGTAGGTAGTGGAACCGGGATTCACACTTGAACCTGAGGCGCTGTATGGACCATGGCCCTCTCAAGAGCAGGATTGTGACGGGGCTGACCAGGGCACCATGGTCCTGGCTGAGGGCACTGATCAGGCAAAGGTGGGGAAATTGGGGGTGAGGGGAGGGGTGCGTCTGGGAACTGGGGTGCTCTAGAGTGTCTGGAACAAGGGGCATGTGGAGGAAAGAAGAGCGAGGGAGGAGGCCCAGCTAGAGGCTCAGCCAGAGGCCCAAGCAGCTCTGCCTGTAAGGGCCTGGAATGCCAGAGGCCCCTGGACGGATGGGGGCGGCCCTGGCATTCTGGACTCCCTCCTTTCGCTCTCATGGGCTCCGAGTGGAAAAAGACAGGCCACGCTTCCCTTCTGATGAGCCTCAGTTTCCTGATCTGCACCTGGGGAGAGGCCCTGGGCCTCCCTGCCTGGCCATGAGGGCCTGGGAGAAACCCCGAAACCCGAAACCCGGCCGGAAGGCAGGCGGGGGTTTGGGGGGGTCGGAGGGGGCGTGGCAGGCGGGGGCGGGGTTAGGCGGGGGCGGGGCCGGGGCTTAGCCAATCAGGAGCGGCGTGTGCGCGCTGTGGCCTGAGGTCCTCCGGCTATTCCTGGTGGCGGTGCCGGAGTAAACAGCCAGGTCAGGGGGCGGGGATGGTGGCTGGAGCCGGGGGCCCGGGGAAGGGAGGACGCAGCCAGGGATCCCCCGAGCCCCCAGCGTCTCCCTTTGCACCCTGCCAACCTTAGAGGCCTCTGGACCTGAATCAGCTGGCGGCGGCCGGGCACCCGCACTTGTGTCCGTGTGACAGGTGGGGACATGGGGATCTGGAGAGGAGCTGGGTCCTGCGAGGAGAGGCTGGGGGTCGGTGGGGGCCGAGGAGCAGACCTGGGCTTGCTCCCTCCCAGCAGAGGCCCTGAGGCCGGGGCAGGAAGGAAGGGCTGCCCGAGGGGGCCTGGTCCCCTGCGGATCCCACACCCTCTGAGGGTGGGGCAGTGATGGTTGCCTTTTGACAGATGAGCCTGTGTCCTTAACCCCTGAGGTCTTACCGTTCGTGAATGAAATCATTCAGCCACCCTCTGGCACCGTCCTCTGGGCTCGGGCGGCACAGCAGGATGTGAGAGCTCCTGCCGGGAGGTGACACGGGGGAAGTTCCTGGCCCACCGCGGGCTGGGAGGACGAGAGGCGGGAGCAGGGAGCAGGGTGCAGGAGGGGGTTGCCGACAGTTCATGCAAGACCTGGAAGGGTGTGGGTGCAGAGGAGTTGGGGACCTACAAGGAATGTTGCTCTATTCCAAGGTCCCGGGGACCGGAAGCAGGGCTTAGAGGAGGGGTGTCTGCGGGATTGGGGGGGACAGGCCCCAGCAGGGGAGCCAGCTGCCTGGGAGAGCCGGGGTGAGGAGAGGACCCCGCTGAGAGAGCAGAATAGCAGAGAGCAAGGGGCAGGGAGAGAGGCAGGGCTGACCAGGGGACCATGGCCCTGGCAGAGGGCACTGCTCAGGCAAAGGTGGGAAAATTGGGGGCGAGGGGGTGCGTCTGGGAACTGAGTGCTCTAGAGTGTCTCAGCCCTGTGACCTCAGGCGGTTTCCTGCCCTTTTTGGGCTTTAGTGTCTCCATCTGCAGAATGGACGCAGCCCTGAGTCCTGAGGTCGTGGGCAGGAAGGAGAGCTGGCAGGGATGGCAGGGACGGTGGAGCCTCTGATCAGCTGGACATGTGGGAGGGCACTCAGGCCGCGACCCTCTCTGTGATTGCAGGTGTGAGCCCACGTCCCTGCCCCCTGGGCCGCGTGCACGCTGGCTCCTGCCCCTCAGCAGACGCCGGAGAGAGATGAGTAGCAACAAAGTGAGTCCTTCTTCCCTTCTTGTCCCCATCCCAGACTCTCCCTTCTCTCCTCGAGGTGGGCTTCGGACCCAAACCACCACAGGCCTCCCTTCCGTGCCTACGTGAGGCCGGTGCCTGGCGGCCCTGGCTGGGGCCCGGCTGTACTTACTGATCTGTGTGGCTTTGGGCAAGCGCCTGCCTTCTGGGCCCAGGGCCAAGGTGACTTGCAATGCTGCGCAGGGGTGGGGAGAGGGGGGTGGGGGTGGGAGGTGGAGGTGAGGGGGAGCCTGGAGGAGGGGGCAGAGGTCAGCCAAAGATGACAGATGTTGTGCGCATCCTTCTGAGGGTGTCCCCATCCTCCATCCATCCATGCTTTCCTGAGGACCTGCTGAATGCCTGGTCCTGTGTACCCCCTTCCCAGCACCCACTGCAGCCCAGCCCCACAGAGCCGGGGGGCTGGGGCAGGCTGATGTGGGTGAACCAGTCTGGGTCCAGTCGGCAGAGAAACCAGAGAGTAATTTGAACAGGGCCAGTTTAATGTAACGAGTTATTAACTGGAATCGGGCATTGGAGTGATGAGGGATGGGAACTCTAAGGAATGCAGGAATAGCAGGTACAAGGAGCAGCCGCCAGCCCCGGGGCTGAGGTCCAGGCCGCCTGGGGAGGGCACAGCCATGGGCCCCCGGGTGGCAGAGAGAGAACTCAGGGTGGTGAATCCACAGCCCCCCCTCCCCTCCAGGGGCACCCAGCCTCCGCACAGAACTGCTCCAGGGAGGGAACTGCTGGCCTCTGGAGGTTGCAGGTGGCTGGGTTGCTGACTGAGCTCCGCTCAGGGGAGGTGGGGGTCACAGCGGGATGCGGAGGCACCGGGCTCCAGAACTGCCCCAGGGCAGGCACTGCAGGGCCCGGAGGAATCTGCTGAGTGGGCTGGCACTGGAGATGGCATGCTGAGGAAGCCAGGAGCTCAGACGCAGGAAGTAAAAGCCTTTCTTCCCGCAGTGTCTCTCCAGCGCCCTCTACTGACAGAGCTTAATGAGCAGTTAGCTGGCAGGAAAAAGCAAAGAGCCCAGACCCACTCTCACAGAGCTGCCCAAAAGGGTGAACTCCGAGCTGAGGAACAATGCCCGGGAACCAGCACAGGGGCTCAGCGATCGGCACAGGAGCCGGGCTCCGGTCTCCGCTGGCCTGGCAGACCCGCTCACATGCATTCCCGTGGGCCACGTGGATGTGACTCTGCTGCCCTGTCACCCCCATGGCGGTGCACCATCTACCCAGGCAGCCCAGGCCCTGAGGGGGCCCCTCCGGGGGTGAAGGGAGGATGAGCGTTTATGGAGAGCTGCTGTTTGGAGAAGCTGGGTCCTCTCCTTTGACTGTCCCACCTGTCTCCAAGCACCCTTCCCGCTGCAGGAATCCCTCTGACACCCACACTCAGTCTGATCCAGCCGACCTTCCTTCTGGGACCCCCTTAGGCTCCCATCCCCACCCTGACCGCTGGGGAGCAGTGGGGAGCCAGACGGACCCAGTCACTGGCAGTGTGATCCGTGCTCGGGGCTGCGGGAGGCCTTCCCGGAGGAGGCGGTGTGTGGGGTGAGGAGCAGGCGTCAGCCAGGTGGTGATGGGGCAGGGCGCCCCGCCCGCAGAGCACGGGGACCTCACCAGGCCTCTCCCCTCTCAGGAGCAGCGGTCAGCAGTGTTCGTGGTCCTCTTTGCTCTCATCACCATCCTCATCCTCTACAGCTCCAACAGCGCCAACGAGGTCTTCCACTATGGCTCCCTGCGCGGCCGCAGCCGCAGGCCCATCAACCTCAAGAAGTGGAACATCGCCGATGGCTACGTCCCTATTCTTGGCAACAAGGTGGGGAGCCGCTTTGGGGAGCTGGTCCTCCCCGTTGCCTCCCACCCCTGCTCCCTCCTCCTCTTCTCTCCTCTCTTGCCATCCCTCCTAAAGGAAGGGTGGGCCCAGGAGTCCAGGCCCTGGCTCAGAGAGGAAGGGAGAGTGGGAGAGGGAGAGGAACAATGATGAGTGAAGATCATGGACCAGCTGCCTCCTGCACGCCCCCTACTGGGGATGGAGCCCGCAACCTGGATATGTGCCCTGACCGGGAATCGAACCATGGCCTCCGGGCTTGTGGGTGGATGCTCAACCCCTGAGCCACGCCGGCCGGGCCAGCCACGAGTTCTCGAAGGCAGGCGTGGGGTCTCCTTTGCTGGTTGCTCTGTCCTGAGTACTTGGCCATTACTAGCTTCTTAGGAGTATTTGTTGAATGTGTGGCTTCAGTTTCTCTGCCTTTAAAATGGGCATAATTGCCGAAACCGGTTTGGCTTGGTGGATAGAGCATCGGCCTGCGGACTGAAGGGTCCCAGGTTCCATTCCAGCCAAGGGCATGTACCTTGGTTGCGGGCACATCCCCAGTAGGAGGTGTGCAAGAGGCAGCTGATCAATGTTTCTCTCCCATCGATGTTTCTGACTCTCTATCCCTCTCCCTTCCTCTCTGTAAAAAAAAAAAAATCAATAAAATATATTTTAAAAAAAAAAATAATAATAAAATGGGCACCATTATGTTGGCCTCCTGGAGGCCTGAATGTCCAGGGCCCAGGGCCTGGCACAGAGTGGTCGTGACAAGCGTTGGCTCTCCTTGCTGCCCCCAGACACTGCCCTCCCGGTGCCACCAGTGTGTGATCGTCACCAGCTCCAGCCACCTGCTGGGCACCAAGCTGGGCCCCGAGATCGAGCTGGCCGAGTGCACCATCCGCATGAACGACGCGCCCACCACGGGCTTCTCGGCGGACGTGGGCAACAAGACCACCTTCCGCGTGGTGGCCCACTCCAGCGTGTACCGCGTGCTGAAGAGGCCCCAGGAGTTCGTCAACCGGACCCCCGAGACCGTGTTCATCTTCTGGGGGCCCCCCAACAAGATGCAGAAGCCCCAGGGCAGCCTCGTGCGCCTCATCCAGCGGGCGGGCCTGGCGTTCCCCGGCATGGAGGCCTACGCCGTCTCTCCCGGCCGCATGCGCCAATTCGATGACCTCTTCCGGGGTGAGACAGGCAAGGACAGGTACCGGCCTTCCGCCTGCCCCCCTGGCCAGCCCTCTGCTCCTCCCAGCATGCTCTGTGCAGAGGGCCTGTCCTCCCAGCAGGCACTGCTCTGAGGGGGTGGTCACTTCTCGGCCACCTCTGGTCAGGTCTCCTGGGGGAGTTATCCTAGAGTCATTTCCAACATGCTCTGCATGACCCCAGCTTCCCAGGAGGGCTTTCTCCCAGCATTCATTGCTCTGAGGGAAGAAGGGTTCCCAGCATGCTCTTCTCTAAGATTGCACCGTCGTTTCTAGCATCTTTCTAGGAGAGCTCCCCATTGCGTGCCTCCTGGAAAGTATTGACTATTCTTGCACTAATTGCTTCAGGCACCCCATTGCTCCCATCATGCTCTGTTCTAAGTACACAACACTTCCAGGCTGCCTTAGGTAAGCTAGGCTAGTGCCATCCAATAGAAAAACAATGCAAGCCACATACATAATTAACATTTTTATAGTAGCCACATTAAAAAAGTAAAAAGAAATAGGTGAAACTATTATTATTATTATTTTAGCCTCATTCGAGGATATTTTTTCCATTGATCTTGAGAGAGAGAGTGGAAGGGAGGGAGAAAGGGGAGAGAGAGAAAGAAATATCAATATGAGAGACACATTGACTGGTTGCCTCCCGCATGAGCCCCGACTGGGTCAGGGATCGAACCTGCAATCGAGATACATGCCCTTGACCATGAGACCCTTCAGTCCGTGGGCTGACACTCTAACCACTGAGCAAAACCAGCTGTGGCCGAAATTCTTTTCAATATATTTTATTTAACTCAATGTGTCCAACATATGGATCCAGTATATATTTTGTCTGACTTATCCCTAAATATTTAAAATTTTGGAATTAACATAAATGATATATTTTTTAAATGCTGGTTCCCGATTATTCTTGCTAATATTGAGAAACACGATTTTTGTGTGGGAACCTTATACCCTGTAATCCTGCTGAACTTCACTTATTGGCTCTCGGAGTTTTTGTAGATTCTTTGGGATTTTCTGTGCAGCTGGTGATGTGAGGACATGCAAGCAGGACTGTTTTACTCCCTCCTTCCTATCTGTGTGCCTCATTTCTTTTTCTTGCCTTATTGCTCTGGCTCGGAACTTTAAATACAAGGTGGGACTGTGTTGGAAGTGACAGGAATAGCCATCTTGTTTCAGTCCCAGCCTCAGAGGGGAAGCGTTTAGTCTGTCATCTTTGACTAGGAGGCCAGCTACGGTTTTTGAACCTGTATTCACCTCTTCCAGGTGAGACAGGCAAGGTCAGGTGCCAGCCCAGTAGTAGGTTGAGGAAATTCCCTTCGTTTTTTAGTTTCCTAAGAGTTTTTTGTTTTGTTTTTTAATCAGTACTGGATATTGAATTTTATCAGGCATTTTTTTCTGCATCAATTAAGACTTTTTTTTTTAAAGACTAGTTTTGTGTGTGTGTGTGTGTGTGTGTGTGTGTGTGTGTTTTAAGACTGTTGATGTGGTGGATTATATTGATTGATTTTTAAATGTTGAGCTAGCTTTGAGTTTCTGGAATAAAGTCTAGTTGGTCGCGGTGTATTATTATTTTGACATGATTTGCTAGTACTTTGTTGAGGTTTTTATACCTGTGTACATGAGAGAGATTGGCCTTTGGTTTATTTTGTACTGTCGTTGCCTGATCTCGGTATCGGGGCAATGCCCTGGGACATTTCCTCTCCTGTTTTCCAGACAAGGCTGTGTAGAATCGGTGTCATTGCTTCTTTAAATGTTTGATAGAATTTGCCAGTGAGACTCTGGGCTTGGAGTGGTGTTTTTCCCCCCAGAAGATTTTAAACTATGAATTCAATTTCCTTAACAGTTATAGGATATCCAGGTTACCTATTTCATCTTCGGTGAGTTTTGGTTGTTTGTGCTTTTCGAGAAATCAGCCCATCTCATCTACGTTGTCAGGTATGCAGTTGTCTTCTCTGTGGTTTCCTTATTATTTTCAAGCGTACAGAGTCTGTGATGATGTTTTCTTTCATTTTCGATGTTGGTAATTTGTGTCTTTTCTCTCTTCCTTTTTCAGTCTTGCGAGAGGTTTATTTTCTTTTCAAAGAACCACCTTCCACCAAATAGATGCAAAGTGTTTTCAGCTTCACATGTAATCAGTATAAAAAATGGTCAGTCACATGTCCCACATTCTTTCTCTCACACCCTAAGAAACGCACTGTGTGTGTTAACTCACAGCACAGCTCAGCCACGGCCAGACGCTCACACGTGCCCAGTGTGGCCCCGGCGGTGCACAGCACGGCTCTAGGTTCTTAGCTGCTTCTCCCAGGCCTGGCTCTGAGCCTGTCACTCCAGCAGGCCTGTCCCTGCTTGGTCTTCCCATGGGGTTTGCTCCGAGCCTGGGCACAGCTGTGCTAGCATGCTCTGTGGTCATGGTCACTCCTGCCTATTCATGTGTGACCATGACCAAGTATGACCAGTCTTCTCAGAGGTTTATTCCCAGCCTGCCTTGTTCCTCCTCTTTCCCTCCAAGGAGCTCTCTCCACCCCCCCACCTCTACCCAGACAACCCCCCTGCCAGCAAACCCGGGCTCCCCCACTGGGCTGGGCGGGGGTGACTGAAATAGGGGGATGAGTCCTGTGAGACTGGATGGTCGGCTGTTCCCCTGCCCGCCCCGCCCCTGCCTGCATGCCCCTCATCACGCCCCTCTCTGCCCCCAGGGAAAAGTCCCACTCGTGGCTGAGCACGGGCTGGTTCACCATGGTGATCGCGGTGGAGCTGTGTGACCACGTGCACGTCTACGGCATGGTGCCCCCCGACTACTGCAGGTGAGCGCCCCCAGGACGCGCCCGGCCACTGCCCTGGGATGGAGCCGGGGCTGGAAACCTGGGCTGGTGGCCTTTCAGATTCTCGGTTTGATGGTATTGGGGCTGCTCTGCAGAGATGGAGGCTCCTTAGAGCTGCCTCTGCACCCCTCCCCTCCCCTCAGCCAGTCCAGAGTTTATGTGTTAATAATA